TTAATATGGTTTTTTCACATAATTTCTAAACGATGTTCACTAATTTTGGAATCAACAGTTTCTAGATCCGAAAACAACTCTAGTTTGCTATATAAACGTTAGCCCAAAAATGCTTCGTTACGGGTTTACAGGGTGTGGAAATTTAATTAAAGAGATACGAAATGGTGAATTTCTCCAAAACGCATGGAGACATTGTAACGAAATTCTCCAGAAATTTATGGCTGCGACACGCGGTTGGGATTCTACAGTAGGATTTGTGGTAGGTGGACCAAATTGGCCTCATTTAAATGGGAACCATCGTTTGTATTGGCGTAGGTTCAAACCGAGCTCGACTCATAAAAAGGGACTATAAGTGTGCACAGTTTAAGTATCATGTTATCATTTGACACTTTTGTATAATTTTGAAAATTTCCCCTCTATAAGGGCCAGTACAAACTTTTTCGTCTTCCCCCTGTAGCTGAAAGAGTAATTTTTTTGAACCAACCAAAGTCGATATGTGATGATTTTTTTCCAAATCTAACCATCGGTTCAGGAATAATTGAAAAAAAAAACTTTGACAAAAAAAACAACATTTTTGCGATTTTTTCCAAATCCTACATTTTATTTTTGAAGTGATAACTTTTTATGGGAGGGTGAACCGATTTTTCTCGATCACTCGGCTTGGGACGCACATATGCACTTTGAATTCGACATTGTTCTCTTAGTGCGGGTGCATCTGTAGATCTGATAAACTTTTCAAATACACATTGCGTTATTAAACTGACAGTGATTTTGATTTATCAATTATTGAGTGTGATATTATTGTGTTCGGAGCAGTTTATTTTATAACACTGATAACAACGAATCAACAAATTATCAAGGGAGAAGCTGCAGATACTGCAAATACTAGGTAAAGGGTGCTCATGTACTAAATGCCTGTTCGAGTTTTGCCTTCTTTTAAATTTACAATTAAAGTACACACACAATTATACACACTAAAGCAGTTTAAGTGCAAGAAAATGCGGATCGTCCATAAATTTGCAGAAACATGTATTACAAACTTTTCAAAATCATGTTCAAACGACCGGGCATTTATCATTGCAAATGAGATTGCACA